GAATGCAGCGTTCCTCTATGAAATCGCTGACTTAAGCTTAGAAAATCCTTCCAAAGCCATGTGCATCAGATGTTTTCCATATGAAATATGCATCTTAAGATGCTCTTATTTTTATAAGCTTTTGATAAAAGAGGGAAATGGCAAATAAATGTTAATATAAAGGAGTTGTTGGCTTTGAGTTTGCATTGCAAGCATGCATATTCCAGCCGTATAAACAGGAAACATCTGAGACAGAGATATTTAACCCATTTATTCTATCTCCTAGCACACTCCTCTTCAGTGTCAAGTACCACCACTTTCACCACTTGCATCACACTTACCTCCACTTTTGAGTGTTTCTTCTGTAACACTTGTCAGAATTTCACTAGACACAGTACGGAACTTCCAAAAGTCCCTTAAGACTTACTGTGATGAGTCTAAAGATATATTACAAAATTTAAAATATGGAGATTCATATTTGCAAAACAACTAAAATTCAACGCAGCATGGCTACAGGCTTGCTGCTGCTTTCAAAGTCTCTACCGTTTTATCTAGAGTTTTTTTTTAAACAGAATGAAATAAGGAAAGGTAATAATACTACCACTGTCTATCAGTTTGGGGAAAGGGACTGACCATTCAGTATCAGATCATTTGGGACACTTAACGGTTCTTGACCCATCAGGCATGTTCCATCATGACAGTAGCATAATACAAGTTTAAGTCACAGAGCAATATGTAATGCCATTATTTTTTGATCTGGCAGGGTAATTTTGAAATAAGACTTTTCTTTAACTCTGTACAAAAATATCTAACAATTTCTGCCTTCTTAACTTATTGCTTGGGGAGTAGGCAGCCAGAGGGAGAGAGAGGTATGGAAGCAGTGTTCATTTATACACCATTAACCGTACTCCATGCAGTGAAAAGCAACTGTTCCCAATGCCCCAAGACTGTTGTTTCAGTAATGAGAACAGTATCCAAGTTACATTCGAGTAAGCCTTTAATTTCATTTAATGTGTATCAGCACACACAGAAATTGCATGCAGTTAAATTCCTGCCTACATTTCCACAACAATATTCTGTGGGATTTACAGCAATTACCATTCACAAATCACCGATTCAGTGCGACACCTAGGATACTCTGGCTACTTCTTTATAATACAATTAGAAAACAACAGTGAAACAAAGCTATGTTATCTAAGAAAAATATTCATAACGCATACTCTTACAAAAAGTCTTGTGAATACGAGCAGATACTCAAAAGGCAAACCACTTAAGACCGAAAATAATTAGTAATGACTGATTTGTTTCACACAGAAAGAAACAGGTAAAACGACGTTTAAACTTGCTGGAAGCCATTATTGTCCCCCCCGCCCCCTTTTTTTTTCCCCACTTTCAATCTAGGGCATTACTGTAGCCTGCACAGCATCTTCTGCTTTTGATAAACCAGCTGAAATTTTTGTTTTGATCCCAGTGCATCCAAAATTGCCTCAGTTTTCAGACTACTGTTTCATGCTGAGGCATACATTACAAAGTTGAGACTAAGTTCCCTATGTGAATACACCTTTTTCCTGGGCACATAACTGTTTAAAGAACTAAACAGGTCAACATTTTTTTTTTTCCATGCACCTATCAATCTAGTCTCACAGTTTTCAGGCACTTTAACCTCAAACTGAAAATCCGATACAACTTCACTATCATTACAAGCCTGGAGTGGAAGGGGAAGGGCAAGGCCAACAGGGTGACCCCACAGAAGAGAAAGGGACAGAATGCCAGTCAGTTGTTAAGATATTTTATTATAACTTTCTGTCAATCAGTTTCAGCACCCAGACATGTAAATTCGATGGGCATTTTAAACCTTAGATGGTTGACCTACTTCATTTTTTCATGCATGATTTCTTCAATGAGAATTGAAAAATGAAAAAATTTAAATTAAATCCATATAGCTTTACTTGCTGCAACCTAAGTATAAAGGGACACAAACGTAAAAGCAAATGAAGCATTTCACAACAGGCTCAATGACAGAGTTTAAATCCTGTTCTGGACTAATATCAAAATCTGCTCTCAGATGAAATTAGTACATTAATACCTGGTCATTTAGGCTGGGAAGCCAAAAAGGAGCCAGAGGCACCAAACCATTCCTTTTGTGCCAGTGGGTATTGAAACTGGTGTTCATTAAAAGCAGAAGTCTAAAAGGTCACCCAAGCTCAGGTGAGCCCTCTGGTTTATCTCCTTATCTAAAATTTCCTAGTACTATTAATTCCTAGTATTTAATCTGGAGCTAAGTCTTATTTAGGAGTTAGCCTTACCAACTGCATCATGATTTGCTTTGGTTTCACTTGGTTTGAATTTTCCACAACTTACTTTTTCCTAGACTCTTAATTTGCATATGCCACATTAGCATTAATTAATAATCAAATGTTTGTAATAGTATCAAGCCATAGTAATTTTTACCTTGGCGTTGCCATTTATTTTCCATGCTTCACAAATTAAAAAACAGGGCTTTGTGAGTTTAACAGCATTTAAATCTCATATGCCACAGTGAACTGATAATCACATGCCACCTTTATGCTATGTGCTGATATGAAGCACAAAGTAGCTCGGTCAAATTTGTCTCACCTTAATAGGAAATTATTTTAGGGACAGTTGACACTGCCTTTCCATGGTATGCAGGCTTATTTTTTACAGCTATGTGCTCTTTCAGTGTATTTCGTCATGCAGAATAATTTTTTATAAGCGTGAGCTGGCATTTATCATAATCATGCTCTACCACAATGTTATTTATCAGTGCTTTTTAATGATTCAAACACAGGATGGTTGCCTCAAAAAATATAGTTTAGAAAGGCCTTTCACTTTTCTCAGTTGTTAGCTTTGTAATAACTACATATCCAGATTTTTATCATGACTTATCTTTATTTAGTCATTTGAACTTAGAAAGCAAAAATAATAAAAATGTAATAAATATATTCTGTGATATCAAACAGATAACAAACATCTGTGTGCTTCAGATGGTATTTTCAACTTGCCCCCTAAGTAACAAATATGAATACAAGCTGGGAACCAGATTTCAAGAAACACTAGCTCAATACGCCAGCTTTCAGAAGATGCTAGCAGATTTCAAGACAGCTCCTCAAGAGTCAAGGTCCCCCATAGTTAAAAATATTATCGATTTCAGCGACGCAAAATTTAGTGCTGGGAACAAAAGCACCAGGGCTCTCCATACACTATACAGAAAGAACAGTCGTGCAAGACAGATTTATAGTAAAACTCCCACGCCCCACTTACAATGCAGTTATAGCTCCTGAGGCCTAAGGATGCAGCAAGAGACTAAGCCTCTTGAACTTCCCAGCCAGAGATCAGAGGTTCAGAAAACTCCCACTCCAACAAAAAAAGCTGAAAAAGTTGGGCTTGCTATGTCATAGAGGATAACTTGGAGGAAGAACTGTTAACAGACTTCAAGTACACGAAAGTGCAAGGAGAACGGTACTAACTGTTTTCCTTACATACTGAGGATGAGACAAGAAACAATAAGCCGAAATTTTTTGCAAAATAGTGTTTAAATTAGAATAGACATTCTGAAAACTTTCTGGAAGTTCAACTATTGCAGCACTGCAACTGTCTGTGGAAGTGGTGGAATCTTCATCAACTGAGATTTCTCAAGAAGAGGGTGTACAAAAGCAGTTCTCAGGAAGAAGGTAGCCACAACTGACCTCTCTGGTGCAAGAGAATGGTCTAGCTAAGGGGATTCACAAACTTTCAGGTGCAGTATATCAAGTCGATTTGACAAAGGAAAGCAGAGAGGTTAACATGATAAGAAACAGGGAATAGAAAAGTACTATGCAACAGTTGTCACATTTCACTCTTCAAGAAGGCAGGGTGCCAAGCCAGGCAGGTCTTCTTGATGCTCAGATTGCAATTCAGTGGGAAGTGGCAGAATTTGCAACTCAGAGATGCAGTGTTCCGAGCTCAGCTTCTGCTTGATACCCCACTCTGCTACATGCATGTCAAAATCTGCCTGTACTATTCTCAGTTGCATATCGTAAACTGCATAGTCTTGGATTTTTTTAAGGATTTAGGTAGCTGCAATTTTCTGTGTTCCTTTGTATCTGTATTTTTCTCTAACCCACAGGCACGCTAGAAATTGATCCTAAAAGCACAGTTTCAGTGAGAAAAGCCTACTGCTAACAAGCTCTTGTATAGTATTTTTCATTCACAGATCTCAAATCTCTTTATAAAGAATCAATAAGCAAATGTTCAATCAGAAATACAACAGACCTTTCTATCTAGGATTGTACACGTTAATTATGCTGTAACCTGCATACAGGATTCTTCTCCACACAACTCACTCATAAGAACCCTCAAACTTTGTATTTTCCCTGACATACCTGATGAGCCTTTGATACTACAACAGTGAAGTTCACAGCAACTGAACAGTAATGCAGAATCCCAAAATCAGCTCTTGTTATAAATAGTTAGCACTCAGTATTTCCATATGAAATGCAAATATAACCAAAAGTTAATTAACACATTTTTAAAGATTATTTGCTATCTTTCAAACTGTCATCCATCCTTACAAGTAGGTAAAAGATAAAACTCTACCTTTTGTTATCTTGAACATAACTCGACACTAACTCCTGTAGCAAAAATGGAGCTATGTGAGCATATCAAAAGAGAAGATGGAACAGAACTTATTTTACTGAATGTGAAGACACAATGGTACAATACTCATCAAGTACAGGAATACTCTGTATCAATATTTGTGAATAAACATTTCTTTTTGTTTTTTTTACAGAAACAGGTAACTCTGATGAAGATTTTAAATTATTCTAGTGCAAGTAATATCATGGTCTTTGCATTCTCTTTCACAAGAGCAACACCATTAAAATCAATATGTTTGTGGGGGAGAAAGAATATGCCTTTTTTTTAAGACCAGATTTAAAGTGGAAAAATATTAGCATTTTGAAAGTGAAAAATGGATTTTAGAAATGTGCACTTACCCATACAATCCCCATTTGCATCCTGCTTATATCCCATGTTGCACTCACATCGGTAACTAGAAAGGGTTGGTATACAACGCCCATTTAAACAAAGGTTGGGATGGTGCTTACAGATGTCTATTGTCTGATTGAGTATTGCTAATTAAAAAAACAGAATATGAGACAAATATTCATATTTTCAAATAGAAGTAAATATGAAGATTATGTGGCTTCAGAAAGTGTCAGGTACATAAATATGTCCAACAAATCAAGTATTTTTTCCAAGAACTGTTGAAATGACAGTAAACTAACAAAACAAAGTAGTTCTCAGAAACAAAAAACACATTAGACAAACAGTCTAATGATTTACCATTTATGTACATAACCTGACAAGATTGTCAGTGGCCTTATGAATAAACCACAATTTGGGTGAAAGTTGAAGCAGTCTGTGCCCATATGTTTACTATTTTTGGTGTACTGTCTTAATAATACTCCTTGCATTTTTATTAACTTTATGGTTCTAACTCCAGAGACATGCTTACACATGCTATAAGTAATGTTACATACATGAGACTGCCCTCTGAATATTATTGATCTTGGGCTTTCAGTCAAGGCAGTGTTCCTGCAGAATAGGTAAGTTTTACATTTGGAAGAACAAGGAAAGGGAACAGTTTATTTTAAACCCTGGTGGTTTTTTGAAAACACTTAGACATTTGGAACTTTGTTAGTGCTGACCAAGACAGAGCAGCAGGGACAGCACAGGCTCAAAGACTCTATAACTGAAGGGAAAAAAAAATATCTGTACATCTGAACTCTTGTTAAAAAAAGGGCTCCTGAACTTTCCAATGTATCAACTGAGGTCTCTCAAATGTGCTTGAATACAAGGGTATTTTTATGCGTTAAGAACACTGTATCATTTCCACACTAAAAACTAAGCAGAAAAAAGGAAAAGAGAAGGAATTAAAAAAAGAGAGAGAAACAAGTCAAAACGATGCAAGTACTTACTTAGTCCTGTAATTATTGGGCCATTTCCAGTGGGACTTTGACCACCTGTCCCTATCCCTGCTCCACCTACACCTGGGGAGAAACCGTTGCTTCCAGGGACGGGAACGAATCCAGCTCCTCCCGGGCTGTAGCCATTGCCATTGCCCCGAGGAAGGAATCCATTTCCTCCTGTCCCACTCCCTCTGGAACCACCTCCAGCAGGAGTGCCATCCACACAAAGTCTGCGGTGTTCATCTATTAAACAGGAACACACAGAGAAGCATAAAGTAAATCAACTCTTCAGAGTCAGTTTATAAGGGAGATACAGAACTTTGTGTGCTACAAAAAATAGAACACCAGCTCCTTGTTTCTTTGATATTATGTGTTCCCTCCCTCACTCCTAATCTCAGGCAGATCCCATGATTGTGACAGGTGTTATTTAAGGAAGGACATCAAAAATAGTAACAGGAAATACTGTGATTTACAACTATTTGTTGAAACTTTTTTGTTGATGTGCTGCCAGTAGCACTGGAACTCCCTGGTCACTCAGAAATCCTGATAAACCGAAAATATGTTCCACTAGGGATGCGGACTATTGTTCCATGAGCAGAATTGAAGGAATAAATGAAATACTGACGCATTTTTAGTTCAAAGTCACCCAAAATTTAGTGGAACAAGACAGCAGCTGTTCCTTTAAATCCAAATGAACTATGGACCCTCAGAGTCATTTCCTCTTTGAGCTTGACCACAAAATCTTTCCCATTTCCCAAGAACTACCTCCAAAGTCAACAAAAGGACGTTTAAGAAACTAGTCCCAAACAATCACAGATCAGAAAAAAATGGTTCACAGATGGCAACATCAGTATTAAAAACACAAGAATGAATAATAATGTAATTCCTGGCTTTCTTTTTCCACTTAGACTACATTTTAAAGCACTTTAAAATATTCCAGTGACCTCCATCCCAACTAGAACGGACAGCAAGAAGGAGAAAACAAACCAATCAACCAACAAGCCACTCACCAGATCCTCTGACAGGACACATCTCTGGAACAGACCCTGTGGCCCAGCACCGGCCAGACTCACAGCAGCACTGCCTTTTGGTGAACCTACCCGGAAGCTCCTGTGCGCAGCGGCCATTCACTATATTGGAGAAACATGCACTTGCCCTTTGATCTGGAAGTTAATTTAAAAAGAAAACTAAAAATAGTAACATGAACTTTCAAAATTACTTTCCCTTATTCAGTCCATGTAAGGACTAAAATGTTTTAAAATTTCTATTAAAACAAAACAAAACAAAAACAAACCCCAAATTATCGGAGGTGATCAGCACCAACTCATTCCACATTTGGTTTACTGCAGGATCACATATTTGCAGTGACACTAGTCTTGCATTAATCCAATGTGCAACCTTAAAGTCTGCTCAGGCTAACAGGAAATATGGATGATACAAAAGAGAGAAAGCAATAAAAACTAGACACAAATATATAAAAAGCCTAATATGGCAAAAATCAAATCAAGACATTTCATCTAACAACAGCCACATCAGTAAATTCATTTAATGATTTTTTCCTTGGTATAGATGTATCTGACTGAAAAAATGCTATCCAGTCTGCTCTGCTCAGTAGACTGAATGTACAACTGTATTTTTAGTAATGCCATATGAAAACTACTGTATATAAATATGTGTTTATTATGTTCTAGTTCCTTCAAGGACACATCCTAAATCTTTTCTTGTCACACTTCAGAATGCTGACTAGGAGAAAAGCTCAATGAATTTGGAAATACATGGTATTAATTACAGTAACTGAGCACATCCTGATATTTTGGTTAAAAGCAAATATTTATCTTAAACTGGGAAGAATAAAATAATTTGTATTAATAAGGATTTCATTCTTCACTCTTCTCCTAAGTAAAGGAGAAATTATACTTCTAGAGTATACAAATCATACTCCAATACTATAAACATCTGAAAGCACAAGAACTTTCAGACACATTTTCATTTACGGGAAGGAGACTCTGTGACATAAGGGCCTGCCTTAGCAGACCAGGGCATGTGATTTGTGTGCAATTGGTTTTGGGAACTGACTTCAGAAAGCAGATTGTAAAACATGCCAAAATCCATAGAAATTTTGATCATATTGGAAATCATAGGTTCTCAGTATTCCTGAGGCCAGCCACAATACATTTGAAGTTTGGTACTCCTCAGATGAACCTGGATAACAAAAGCTGGCTATATTGTGGAAAAATCATCCATTTGAAATCAGTTGTACGTCTTGTGTTGCTAGTGGCTTAAATAATTTATCTGCAATTAGCAAATCCCTTCAGAATTCCCATCCCTTTACCAACATGAGAACAAAGTGCTTTAAGATGTCTGAAATAAGAACGACATGAGATCCAGAAAAGGCATTATTATTAGCAATTGTTAATGGTTTTTTTACACACGGTATGCAGTATTTTTAGTTAATTCATCAAAATGGTTTATATCATATATTTGACATGTGCAGCTGTATAAAAGAAATTACTACATATGAAAATAAGCATGCATCTTTTTTATAATACAGAAACAGGTTTTAAATAAATTGTCCCGTAAAAGCTGCAATCTACTGAAATCTAGTATTTGGGTTGTTTTATTATCTGTTCCAAATTAGTGGCACCCAGCATACACTACTTAATGACTTTGAGTTTATGTATGTGCTTTATATTGGTCTCTAAAGGTTAAATTAACCTACATGAGATGGAACTTCAAATACCAAGTGAAGATAAATGTTTGGTCCTTTAGAAGCAAAGCGAGTTTAGCTTTTGGTTTCACCAGATGTAGGTTAGAGAAACAAACGTAAGTAACATTTCCTATGTTTGCCTAGATAACAGAGAGATATTAATTGCTTTTTTCCTAAGAAGATCCAGATCTCAGGTGGGAGTTCTCAGGCTACAATACAGTTGACAAAGAGGAATCTACTATCTATATAAAGATGGTTGCAGTGATAATTATCATCAGAGGAGGATGTTACGAATTTTAATTAGCTGGATCAGAGATGCTAGTGAGTTAGCACATAGTGAGCTCCTGGGGCATGGGGAGAACGCTAGATGGTTGGGACAGAAGTTCTGCTGCTCTGTGTAAAAATTGCCTCAATAACCTTGAAAGCTCTAAAAGCCTACAGGGTGGGATACCTACCAATACAGCGGGAGCCATCCACAGATGTGATGTAACCCCGTGGGCAGATGCAGAAATAACTTCCCACAGTGTTCGAGCATTCACCGCCTTCACAGATTCCTGGGATGATGCTGCATTCATCAATATCTACCCAAAATGGAAAGGACGTAGGACAATTAGCACAGCATTTGAACATATTGTATTAAAAAGATGGAAAGAGAGCTTTTCTGAAACGAAGTTGTTATTCAACTCAGATTGAATAACATATTGCTGGTGTTTGCATACTGCAAACAATGTTGTTTGCCATCTAATGGAGACTTTCCTTATACATTCAAGGGTGCACCACTTCAAGTCACAGAGTACGTGAGAGCAGTCTGGGACGTCCTCTAAATGACACATACTGAGTGCGATCTCTAGGAAGCTACAACGCAATACCAAAATACACATCCTGCTTTTGAGCTGAAGAAAGGAGGATGGTACAGCAGCCAAGCATGACAGCTCTGGGCTTCTGTGACCACAGAAATACTGCTCACCAGATCTCCTTTCTGGCCTTCTAGTACTCCAATTGTAAGCAAGAACTTTGGCAAAGCTCTTCAAATTCAATCAAATGTTGCACTTTTACTTTTTTTTCAGATATTTTTAACCCATTCAAATGTTTCTGCTTACTAAATGCAGTGGTCTCATGTGAACACTGAAATAATTTTGTACATAGATACATATAAAGCGAGACGCCATCAAGCTGATGAATGAGCTGCTGTATGCAACAAAGGGCTGCTAGGGCACTTTTGGCACCAGGACTGAGAGCACTGTGTGCTGTCCCAGCACAAACTGGAAGAAAAATGAGGAGCTGAGGCAAGGAGAAGCAACAGGAGGAAGCAGTATGACTGTATTGTTAGAGACGTGAAGCACAGAATAGCAAACTGGAATGGAAGAAATACAAACAGCATGAGAGTAAAGACTGTGTCATGACATTTATAGAAACGAGCCATTTTAAGTAACCATTTCATTCTACAACTGTGACACTCTTCAGACATGAATATTTTGCTTTTAAGTAACCTCTGTACACTAGCTTTTCGAGTGGCTTCCACTGAATGTGAACTGTGGCCCAGGTTTAACACGCAAGGCATTTGGAGAAAACACAGGAAAATGTGGGCCAACTCTCTAACTAGCTTCAGATGAGTTATGTTTTCCAGTTGGAATGATGATACCACAGGTTTTACACAGCTTGATACCAAAGGTAGTCATAGGTACAAGATTTGGCTTAACTTTTTGTTAAAATTTGGATGCAGTATTAATTTAAATTAGCTTTCATACTGAGAATCAAAAATCAAAACAAAAAAGTTGAACTCAGACTGCCTCATGTCAAATAATGCAAGAGGAGCATCAGCAAGAGTGTATGACAGAAATTATCTTGTGATGACACTGCGAAGGTCTTCACATTCCTTGTAAGAAAGCCTTGGGACCCCCCTTGCACTTTTACACAGATCTATCATTTCCTTGGACCTGTCACTCTAGAAATTCTCTTGAGATGAATGACTCCTTGAGAAATAAACTTTAGCAGGTGTTATTTCTTAGGAGGTCTTTATGTGATGAAAACTTTGCTCCCTCCCTTGCTACATTCTCCACACTGAAAACTCAAACAAAAGGACGAGTGCCAAAAAGACCGGGTGTGCACAGGGACTATATTAAAAAGGTAACACCCCACAGTGGGAAGGTCCACACACGAAGAAGTCCCTTTAGATATGAATCTACAGAGGACATTCAAGTACTGAAAGGAAAATGAAGTTTTGCCACACGGCCACTAAGAATGTGAAAACTGTTCTCTGTAAAATGAAGGTATGAATAAAACACTCCCTCTCCCACTGGCATGTCATTCAGCGCGTCATTGTAGAAAAGATAATTTATCTTACAGGTAACATGTCTCCAAACTTCCTAACAAGTCCATACATACAAGCATCCTGTGACCTTTGTTGTTTGTTTTACACTATCAAGTAGACTCAGAGGAAATAAAAATTTTGCCTTTTTAGTAAGGTTATTTAAGCATTTCAGAGGATGTAAAAAGTTTTAATTTTACACTAAAACAGTTACAAAGTAATGACAACTATTCCCCACATTGTAGGCATCTGCTTAAGTATGTACAAAAGAAAGTGTTATTTTTGCTAAATCAAAACACTTCTAAGAAATATTTACCCACTGCAGAGATTCCATAATTTCAAATCATGGTATAAATCAAAACCAAGTAATTCCCCAGGAAATCTCTGAAATCTTGCATTAATTTCCTATATTAAAGACAATATATATAATGTGGTGAACTGCTTACCAACTGATTTAATCCAATGAAATGAAACCATGTGTGTAAATCAAAACAGAAACGGAACCAGCTGCATGCCTTGTAGAGATACTTGATGCAGCACAGGTCTTTCACAACCTCTAAGTCTTTTAAACATTAATATGGTCCTCTGTACACACACGAGTCTGAAACATCACATCAGAAAGACAGGCAAGAAACTTGGATGAAATGAGGACTCCACAGGAAGAGCTTACTTTTTCTGGAAAGCGACACCTTCCCGACAGCCGAGTCACACGCAAGAAAACTCCCTTATTTTACGATCCCTTGAAGCCCAGCTTTGATTTCAAGGAAATACTACTCTGACCTTTTCCATCACTACTGTAGCAGTTCCAAAAATAAATTACAAGACTAATTCTAAAGTTTAGAGGCACCCAAACTTTGATAAAGATACCACCAGCAGAGTGATCACAACTCTCCATCATGGAAATAATGTCAGAAGATGCAAATGCTGTACACACAAAGGGGATGTCACAAAGCTGCCATCCATTGATTAAAGAATCCCTGTGCTAGGAACTAGTTACATAGCACTTTCAAAATCTGTTTCTCTTAGAGTCACTCTCTTAGAGAGTGGGTCTCAAACCTTGTAGGACTCATAGCATTTATTTCTTTTTTTTTTAAAAACTGAGGTACAATAGCAGCTACTATATATAAGAAAAAAAAACACAAGAAAAATGCATCTATAAAAATCTGACTGTTAAAACCAGCAGGCACTTGAAAACTTAGTTTCCCTTTCATTTTCACTCTGTTTGGCACAGGTACCTGCTACTTTAAAGGCAGTAATCTTAATTACAAGAACAAAACAGCTGATCTTCTACCAAAGGAGACCAGATTCCAAACTAGTTGGTCATACAGTACAAAGTCCATTGAGGTAATGAGTAGGTGGAGTTTGTAGAGCTGGCAAGGGAAAGACATAGGAAGGAAGTAGTTAGCCACTTCTGCAAAGCTGCAGGACAGAGATCATCCTTCTCACCTGGCTACAGACAGAGGAGTTTAACACTGTCTAGGGCTCTTGTCCAAGAAAGACAGGGAGCTGGGAAGGCAGGGAGTACCTTCCTTAAATCTGGGCAGTGACCAGAGTGGAAGGTAGACTCTGCAGCCTTCTTCATGTGGAGAGAAAAACTTTTTTTTTAACCAATTAACAGAGAGAACCCTTGTGGAAGAGTAATTTTCTTACTAACTGGAGCGATACCAAGTCAGTGGATTTTTTCTTTCACTAGTTTTTGAGCTAAATCTCTGTCTCTCTTTCACCCTCCCTGGTTCTTGCATGTGCATTTCTTTCAGCAAGATCTCTGATACCTCTGACTGGAAATTCTGAGACTTTACCTCAGGAAGAGCTATTTTTAGTATGACTGATTGAAAAAGTTACCAAATTTCCTCCCTTCTCCCCTCCAAAACACAGGAATTAATGGTCTTGGGGAAAATGCTCCAAAGATAGTAAGAGGAGATGCTGTCTTAAGGGTGAAAAAGACTGGTGGTGTGAATGGCTGCAGTCCCAACATTGCCCATGAGATGAGAAGGCCAGTCTCAATGTGAGAACCAATTTAAATGTGTGGCATAAACTTTGCAGGTGTGAGAATTAATAGGTAAGCCTCTGCCAAAAAAACTCAGCCTGGCTACCTGCCATCCAGAATTCATTACTTTTATTGCTACAGTAAGTAGGCTTTTATGAATAACTGAATTAAAGTACCAGAAGAGGGGCTCTCAATTGCTGAGTTCTGAAAAAGGATTCCTTGAAAACAGTTTCAATCTATAGTAATACCTGGTAGTATCAAATCTGAATAACATATAGTGTAATGAAATTGTATGTTAAAGCAGGACAACCAGAAATAGAACTGTTTCTTTTAAAAGGTTCCTCGCATTTTGGTGCCATGTTTTTTAAAAAAAAAAGGAGTTAGCCTGTGTCATATAGTTCTAGTCCTTTGATGTCAGTGATATAGCAGTCTATCTTTTTGGAAGAGCATCAGAGGCATCCTACCTCCTACAGTAGGACTTTAAAGGGCGTCATAACTGACTAAACTTAGTCAAGGAGTATCATGTATTTTCAATTTGAGAAGAGTAAGTGGCACATATTTATTAGATCCTTGAAGTACTAATAAGTAGTAGTCCACCTCTTCTGTAAACCAGCAAGCACAACTGAAAGCTTATTTCTCCTCTCAGTTTATCTATATACAACCATCTCTGAACAACCCATAGACGTAAATTCCATTAATTCTGGAAGATAACATCTTAAAAATGAACAGAATTTCACTCCTAAAAAGACAATGAAAACTCAGTATATTGTAGATCAAAACTTTTAGGCCAAAAAAAAGAGAAGGGCTTGGGGTTTTCTTTTGTTTAGTTAAGACTTCTACACTAGTGCTCTGGATATGTGGAGTTTGGTACAACCCCTGTAATGGCCTTTTCCAACTTTTTCAGCTCTGTGCCCATTCCTTGAATAGTTCCATGACCTGCTCAGTAGTGGAAGTTGTCATCCTGACCACGGTGGAAAGTCTATAAATCAGGAATATGGAAATGCTTACAAATAAAATCAGTAACATTGAACCCTGAGCTGGATTAATTTTAAAGGTCATATTTTCCCAAATAGCCTAAATTACCTAGTTACATTTCTGCACATGAGGGCATACACACACAGTTACACTTACAAGTTGTTCTCATGTGCTTTGGAAATCCTTCAAACCTTCTTTACCGATATACAATTGTCATAATTTCTGAAAGGTCAGTGCCAGTAAACTGTAATCTGAGGCTCACAATAAATCCGATAAGCCAAATATATGCCCCTTTACTGTTTTTTTTTAAA